TAGAAGCTCTGCTATAGGACAGTACTGCCACATATAAAAACTTTGTGATAGGAGCATACCACTTAATGCAAATTAGGGCTTGTCCCCAGGCTTCCCAATGCTGTATATTCCTTATACTCTGGAATAAAACTGAGCTGATTCACTGAAGTCTGCCTCCTGGAGTGGTATCTCCATCCTACCCACAGCAGCCCAAACCCTGTTCCCCACTTCTCCCTTCAACCTTGGTGGGCCAATGCATCCAGTGAGCCACAGTGCCAGAGAGAAATAATGGAAGATTTTGCTTTGTTTGTGAAAGAAGAGCAGAAAAGGACAACCAGCAAGATATGCTACAGAAAATCCCAAGACTCTACACAGAATGGATTCTTGGACATGGGAGAAGCAACAGATGCTAAGGAACCCTGCAAGAATAGCTCCTGTTACCATTAGGTAGGTGGCTATGCCCTGTGGCACAGTTCACATGAATGGTTTGATGAGACATGGGTGGAGAGCCAAATGGGTGCTGAGACTAACTTGTAGATCAGCTAAGGGAGCTGCTATGCGGAAAATGAACCATGAGTCATCAGCTCCTCAATGGCACTTGGTGATGCAGAGACTTTGAAGAATATCAGTAGAAAAAAATAATAAAAAATTAAATAAAAAAATCCAGAAACAGAGCTCTAAGAACTAAGCTTACAAAGTATAACCAGTTTGGAACTTTCAATTACATGGAAAGAACAACTGCCTCAAAATGAAATGCAAGAGTGTGAACTTGCCAGAAAAGTAAAGAACCATGGATTCCAAGGATGGAAAGTATAGCAACAGAGAGATGAGCAGACAGGAGTGTTCAAGTGCCAGTTGCACCTAGGAAAATGGAGTTGTTTGGTCTATGCAGGAGGAACAAAGAGAGGTGCATCCAGAGTAGAGCAGGTGAATGATGAAGCAGGAAGTGAGGGACTAGGAATCGATCACAAGGCAGAACATTTGTAGGACTCTAGCTTCTGGAGAAGGGAGGACAAGGACACAGATCATGCCATTTAGAGAAGGATTTGCAGGTGAGGTTTCTAGACATATGACTTAAACAATTATTTTTGCCAGTGTTACTTATTTATTTTTTTAGATTTAGCTCAATGGATCTCATTTTCCTCAAAGCAGTTTTATATGAAAAATAAAATCATAACCCACTTATAAAATAGTGGAGGATGTCTTTTAGGCATACATTCATTGTTCCTAGTTCAAAAAGCCTGCTTCTTTCAAGTCTATCATACACAATAGCTATTTTACTCCCCATGCTTCCCCTTTTCTCTCACTTCCCATCACACCCCCTGCCAGTCTTCTTCTTTTTTCCACTTTTTGCTTTCATACATACATACATACATATATATGTGTGTGTGTGTGTGTGTGTGTGTGTGTGTGTGTGTGTGTGTATGTCCTAGGATAACAAGTGAAAGAAAACCTGGCCACTGTCTTCCTCAGGCTGGCTTATTCTATTTAATATGATGATCTCATATTTCATACATTTTCCTAAAATTAACATAATTTTACTTTTTTTCTTCATGGAAAACAAAATTCAATTTTGCAGATATACCATATTTCCTTTTTCCATTCAATGGCTGATAGACAGCCTTGCTGATTCTATAGCCTGGATACTTAAAGTAGTGCCGCAGTAAACATGGCTCAGCTATATGACTTTTATGAAAACAAACAAGAGCAAATGATTGAGGAAAATGCTTCTGCTTCCAGCCTCTGGAAGATTTTCCCAACAGGAGTCATTTATCCATGAGAGATCTCCATAGAAATCTCACCATGAGAAAATGACTGGGCTATTTATTTAATCCAAATGGAAATCTCTATCTCCATAAAATATTCTCCTTATCTACTACACTACAAACAAAAGTGGCTTCTGCTCTACAAATCTGAGCACACATATTTAATCCTGAAAATATTCATATAACCTAGATAGTCATAGAGTCCAAATTCAACTCATTCCATTCCCAGGCAAAATTGCCATGAGGCCTCTGTCTGTGTTCCTGTAGAAGACATTGTTGGTTATTTATATACTATCCATTAGTTTTTCCTTATACAAAATTAGAACCCCATTTCACCTTAGGGTGGTCAGAAGCCTGGCTAACAACTGCCCTGTCCAAACATTATTACAGCTAGTTATGGGCATGTGAATATTTCTGAATTATGGAAATAGGTTAAACTGATAGCTGTACACTTGGCCCAATCTCTCTCTGCCTCCCCTTCCTTCCTTCCCCTGTGCCTCTTCTCTTCTCCCTTTTCCCTTCCTTCCCCACAGTTCTTTTCTGCCTGCCCCCTCTAACACTGAAATAACAAGCGCTCTAGCTACCATGTTAGAATATGATGAAGTTCTTAAGATATGTATTCTCACTATATTAGAGTCTCCCAAAGTCATAGGCAAGAAGTTCTTGCCCATTAAGAAGCCAGTCTGTCACCAGAATCCCAGACTGGATCACTCTGTGACCCACAGCAGGCAGCACTCATTCTGTGACTTCACCTTTTCATCTCCATCTGTTTGCATACTCAAGGACACAGCCATGTTTTATTATCTATTACTCTGCTGGCCCCATATTTGTGTTTCCTCCATCTGCTTATGTATAGAGGTTTTGGGGTTTTTTTGGAAGTTTTGTTTGTTTGCTTGTTTTTGTCTGGTAAATATTTAAAGAACCAACAACAAATTCATGTGATTGTGCAAACTTGTGAATGTATAAATTTTTCAAGTATAAAATTAAGTTATACTAAAAAAAAAAGGTACATAGTCAAAGCAGTTGGAAAATGTAAAGGGTCCCTCTCCCTGGTTTGGGAGGTTAAATAATATTTAATAAACAAACCAAATTATAACCTTAAGCCATCAGGTACTAATGTGCATGTCAATGAATGCATACGAGTTTTTGTATGTGCATTTTAAAGAAGCAAGCGTGACGGAAGCTAAAGCATGCAGAAAGTGCTACATTACTGGAAATGGAACTACCAGTGTTATCTCTGCCCTATAAAGTATCTACTTGGGATGATTTCCAGAGAAGGTAGTTTGTTGAAAAGTCTCAGTTGTGTGACCTTCAGCTCAAAAGTCTTAAGACAAGTGTTTAACTGCAAAGGCATAAAATATTGGCATGACTTCTAAAGGTAATGGCATTTTCAACATTAGCATAAGATTTGACCTTTGTGTCCAGTCTTCTGGGATGTGCCACTTTAGCATGTTGGGTTTCTTTTTCCTTATGCTCCTTGTTCAAAGGCATACCTTGAAGCATAAACTTCAAGAATACAGCAGTTCAAAGACAGAAAAGAACCCCTAAGAGGAGGACATAGCAGAGCAAAACTCAATTAAATTTTAACCTTTCAAACTGTAAAAGATGTGGAGTTGTTCCATTTCCTCCTTACCCAAATTAAATTGGATCCCCAAAGACACAAATAAAGATGCAAGGAATTCACTGGCACAAACACAATGACTTTCAAGAGCCAGGTTAAATTATGGCACATCTCATTTATTCACTACAGTATAAATATATTCATGTTTCACAAATTGCTATTTATTGATTCAACAACAGAAAAGGCTATGCCTTTCATTTTCACAATGGAATACGTAAGAATAGGGGGAAAGGAAAATCATGAAGTACTAAATTGTAATTTCTTTACCAAAAAGCATAATTTATAAGATTGATACATGAAAATCAAAACCAATGACATCAAAGCTACCCATAATAAGATTATTCCTTACTATCAAAATGTCTGGGATATAAATTACATCCAGAAAAGACAGGTTTAATGAAGCCCTGGTATAGAAAAGAAATGGCACAATGAAATGCTTTCTGTATAGCACAGCTATTCTTACCCCAGTGCTAATGTTGGTTAAAGCCAAGTTCTGCAATGAAATTAATGTGGTTCATCATTGATGTTTGGAAAAATATTGTTAGGAAATGTCCAACAGTGTCTGAATGGAAATACTGTTCAGTGGTAGACACATTGATTTTACCATTTTATTAACTGTAAAATGTTATTATTATTTCAATAGAGTCTATGGGAGCTCTATCTTTGAGGGAAGTACTTCTGAGAGTGACATTTTCTAGAGAACTTTTGAAAAACACTGAAAGCTCCATGTTGTTTTACTATGTGCTGTGTATGATCCTTCTAGTACTAAGTTTTGCCCAGGGCCACTGGCTGCCAACCTGAGTTGTGCATGTTTAAAACAGGGCATTTGGCCACAGCCCAGGGATTTGAGAGTCTCTCTCAGAGATGTAGCCTGAGCACATGAGTTTCCACCAACCTCCCTGTGAGGCTAATGCTGTCAACATGGAACCCTCCACAATTCAAAACAATGGGATTAGAATTTTAAGACAACAATTAGTCATACAAATTAACAACACAATCCATGTTTATTTCCTTCTATAACCACACAAAATAATTCTGTAAGATTATACTAAGCATGTTATAAATGAAAAATGTCTGGATTGGCATAAAGCAGGAAAGCATATGGCAATTTCTTCAGGTCACACCATATGTCATTCAGTTTTTGGAAGAGTTTGTCTTTAAATTGCCAGGTGTTTATTTAAAAATGTGAAAATATAAAAATAATTCATAATAACTGTTTTCTACACAAATGGGTAGGAAAACTCCTACACAGTCTATTTAAAAGGAAGATACATTGTGTAGTGTGGGTAGTCTAGGGTGGCCTTCTTGGCTCCTGAACTTCTTAGTTTGGATTCTATCAGTTCATTGTTGTATTTGTCACAGAGAATCTGTCACCCACCTAGCTTGGTAATCAGAGGGGAAAACATCTCAAGGAGTCTATATTGGAGAATAGCCTTTCAGTTGGTTGGTTATTAATAAGCAGAGAGTTTCAAGTTAGAAACTGAAGGAGAGAATTCATGACTCCCAAGCATTACTTCCCAATCCTCAGCTGTGCCCATGTCTGGTCTTTGATGAACTGTCATGAAAGACAGGCTTTCTCTTCTAGTGCCTAGATATGTGATCAGTACAGAAGGTTGTCATCAGTGGATGGGCAGTCAACAGGAAACTGGACTTTGCAGTTGTTCATTGGCAAAATTAACAAAAACCTGAAAGAACATATGAAAAAAGTTACTAATTCATAAGAATTGGACCTTTTGGTATTTTTTTTTCAGATACTGTTCAACCATCAAAAAAAAGACCTAAGAATTCTGCTGTGAGATTACATATTCTAGATATGGGAGGGAAGTTAAGTTCCATCCATGAAATATCAACAATATGGCAGCCTAAACAAGGAATAGCAACAACACCAGCTGACATGTCAACATAGATGGGTGAAATCTCACATGGCCCCACTCAGAGATGAAGAACTATAGGCAATTAATAAGTGATGAGAGAGGCAGAATCAGTCTTCCCCAGAAGGGAGAACCCTGATTGGATATTGGCTATTAAGTGTTCAGCTCTAAACCCATATACATGCAAATAAAAATAAATGGGTTCAGCAGAATTAATTTATATATTTACACATATGCATATGTAATAATGATAATGCACACAAGAGGGGCCAGGAAGAAGCAGTTGGAGAAAAAAATGAAGGAGGTGGAATGATGCAACTATATTTTAATTAAAAATAAAATAAATTTTTGAAAAAGGCAGACACTGTAGCTTTATACTACCCTAATCCATTGAGCAGTCAGCTCCAGGAATGAGGACAAATAACATTGGTAGATGATATGTATGGTTTGAAACTGGTTTTGTCATGGAATATCTTGTTTTCTCCATCTATATT